CCTTTCCAGCCATCAGCCACCTAGTTTTAAGTACTACCTTATGGTAGTCATAGGAAACTAGGAGCCGTCCTGACCATGGGCCCTGCCAACAACGAGACCTGAACATATCTGTGACTATATTCCAGGACAGAGGCCCAGTGTGAATGTGCATATTGTCTGTAGCCACTTTCATGTACTACAGTCACCACTGAGGTCCTAGGGCCACAGAGAACCTAAGACACTTACAAAGTCTGCTAGTGGATGGGGCAGGCCCTCGGCAACGAAGTTAGAAGGTAGACAATGAGCAACAGGAGGGAGAGAGGGTGTGAGGGATGGGTGCCAATTTAAGTGAAGTGGTAGTCACAGATGGAGATGACGCACAAACCAAGATTAGGGAAGGAAAGGGAATAAGCCATGCCCACATGGGAGAGAAGAGCATTCTGGGTACCAGGAGGATCAGGTGCAAAGACCCCAGGGTGGGATGGGTTTGGCCTGTTCAAGGAACATGCCTACATATGCAGGCACCCATGCAAGGGACAGGACCTCGCAGGCCACTGCAGGTCAGTTCTAAAGGCTTCCTCTGGCTGCAGGGAGGAGGGCAATGAGGAAGGAGAAGACAGACTGGCAGGCATCTGTAGTACTTCAGGCAAGGCGCGAGGCTCACAGGACCAGGGTAGAGAGTGGGGGGTGAATTATGGAAGTGTGTTGTACACGAAAAACCACAAGACGCTGAGAAGAGAATGCCCTCCTCTATGTGGAACCAAGCAATCCACTACCCAAAGTCCAGGTTGGGCAAGATTCTCTTGTGTTCCATGTGTGTGTAAAAATGACAGAGAGACAGAGAGCTGAGACAGAGGGGAAGGGAGAGGAGAACTGAGACGTACCGAATGCCATCACACGCGGATGAAAGAGCCTTCCCAGAGGACCCAGCCTCTGCTGGGTATTGTGAAGCTCACAATCTTTTCTTTTTGAGGATGGGGGAAGGAGTATGGTCTTGAACTCAGGGCCTCATACCTGCTAAGCAAGGAATCTACCACCAAAGCCACACATCCCCATTCTTTTGCATTTATTTTTAAAGCTAGGATCTCCTCCTTTTGCCCAGGCCAGCCTTATACTGTGAGCCTCCAACCGTTGCCTCCTGACTGGCTGGAACCATATGTGTGCACCACCATGTCCAGCCATGAAAACCTTCTGGGGCACACACTTCAGTGCAAGACATTGTCCAGCCTCCCCAAACACCCACACTTCCAAGACTAATGCTCTCCTAAAGTCTGTGACTGCTATGTGCGTTTCTTCCTTGTTCAGTCCTCAACGCCCAGTCAGGGAAGCAAGAAGACAATGACAGCCATCCTGAAAGCCCTCAGGTGCGACAGCTGTGTCTGTGAGGGACACAGATGCTTTCCGGCCTTTGCCTTGGTGGGAATGAATGCTTTCTTCCCTGAGACCCATTTTCCTGTGCTGCATCTAGAGGTAGATGTTCTTCCTGATCTATCAACTCCAGGTGTCCCAAGCTGCCTGAGCTGACCAGTGATTCAAGAAACTAGTGTTGATTGAAAGATTACTACCAAGTTTCACAATCTGTGAGAGAGGACTGGATCTGGATGTGAGGGACCCAGCCTGGGGTGGGGGTGGGGGCTCACTATGCCCTGTGGTGGGCCTTCCCAGCTGGGACTCTCCCCTTTGGCTGAAAACCGTAACCATGCCAGAGTGCCAGGAGAGGCAGACACTGGTTTCTGGATGTGCTCTGTTCTTTTTTGCATTTACATTCTCTAGCATGCTTGCATTGTAGCTAAAAACAAACAAACCAACCTAGAGTTAATCACAAAGGCAAGCTGTGCTGCGAGGCTCAGGGCTTTGCGTGAGGATCATGGATGAAATTCTCCAGCTTCCTGGTGAACTGAAAGCCAGCATGGCACAATGACACAGGAGTATCAGCCGCAGGGGAACTGATCTAGATTGGCTTTATTTGGTTCTTTTTGGGGGGAGGGCAGAGCTTCACAAAATATCTCATATGCCCCTCTCTACTATAGTTACCTGCATAAAATAACGCACTGGTGTACCTGGAGTGGACTGGGAAGGCAGAAATAACAGAGAACCTGACCATCAGGGCCGGCCTTCTGAGAATGTGCGCTATTTGCTGAGTGTGACTATGTAGTCGAATGACTATTTTCAGGTTTGGCACTGTGGCTTAAATCCAAATGAAATGCAGTCACAAAATCACATAATATTAATGTCATTCACTGAGGTTGATAATGAGCACAGCGTGGGTTTTGCTGATGTCTTTGGGGCTACACACGGATCTCCCTCATGATGGATGCCCCGCCCGCAGTCTCTGGGCAGCTGCGTCCACCAAAGGAAAACAGGCCATTTGTCTCAATCAGGAGCCCTGCCTCACACAGCACCTACGCAGCAGTTGGGAGGCCCTGCTGTCCATCCCTTTGCCAGGCAGGAAACCTTGATGGCTTCCTCCGTGCCTCCCTTAGTTACTGAGCATTGAATGAGTAAAGTTCCCCATTCCAGAACACTGCTGTGCCTTAACACAGAACCAGGGGAAGAGTGATAGAGCTGAGGCGCATTGTAGACGTCAGCCTCTCAACTTTGGCTGTGTTCATGTGACCCAACTTTGGCAGTGTTCATGTGGCGGGGTGGGGGGGGGGGGAAGGAGCCGGGTTGTGCTTTGTAGGATATTTAACATTCCCAAAGCTGAGACAAGCAGAAAGCCATCTACAGATGCTGATAATCATCCTAGAGATCTAGCCACCCCGTCGACCTGAGAGAAAAGCAACAGCGGAATGGAAGATAGTGTAGGTAAAATGAGTCTCCCTGTGTCCATCTGAGGACCCAGGGAAGGCAAGCTCTTCTCCCACTGTCAGGGGTACAAACTGAGCAGCTGGTACCTGGACCATGCAATGACCTACACAAATGGGTATGTGTTCAGGTTGGCTACAGACCTCTACCATTACACAGTGTTTTGGCTTATCTCCCTCCCCTAAACTGTGGCCCTGAATATCACTGACCGTCCACTCTCTTGCTTGGCATTTCCCATGGAATATTCCAAGTCTCCTCTCTACTGCTCCAATTTCTCTTGCGTAGCTTTTTGACAGAAAGGTTTGGGAACCCCAGGCGCTGTCAGTAGGGCTTGGTTGCTCTCATTCATAATGACTCCAGCCGTCCCCAAAGCCAAGAGCTGGATGCCAGTTCTCCCAGGCCAGCCACATCGGGCAGTGCTGACAAAACCAGCTAGAGCCATAGAAAGCTCGAGAGCAGCCAAACTCAGGTCTTAAAGTTGTGAGAACAAGATCTTAATGCAAAGATTCTTCCCAATCTCCACGACAAAGGAAAACAAATGTATTTAATTCTGAAATTTTGAATCATTTCCCAAGACCAGAGTGGGCAAGTACTGTACACATGAAAACCCAGCATTTCTACCCAACAGGACAGCACCTGCCACCAAGTCATTTGTTTGGAAAACACAAGACCTCCTGCCTTACAAATGATGCATTAGATGCGTTATGCAATGGTGATTCCAATTTGCACTTCTGAATTGCATTCTCATTTATACACTACATTACGGCATTCAATCTATGAAATAGCTTTGTGAAATATTCAGAGATTTTCATTCCTGTGCTCATTCCTACAGTTGGCAGGAATACAGGATACTCAACGCACGCAAGACCATTGGTCCATGCTACTTTTCCTGGGGAAACACCTTCCACTCCCCTAGGTTACCATAAGGACCCTATGGGACAGTAGTCCTGGCTCCATGCTACCGTGGAAAAATGTCCTCCTTACTGTTGACTCAGTGCCTCTCTCCTTTCTTCCTTTGAGGAGCCTTCATCCAAGAACTTTATCCAAATCACTGATAAAACTAAAGAGCAAAGTGGGAGGCGGGGGAGCTATGACCACAGCCCTGCAGGTCTAGCCTAACCCACCTCCCCCGGGGACCTCACACACTGGTCAGCACTTGGTGCTTGGGTACCCAGATACCAAACCATGTGGCGGCATCTCTCCACACCCTGCTAGAGGCACGGGACTTCCAAGGGGGTGAACTCTAGGAGGGAGGAGGGTGGACCTGAGGCTGGGACCTGGACAGTGTGAAACCCCTCAGAGAAGATGGGAAGATCTCTGTGAGGAACTCCCCTCCCCCCTGGCCTTTGCTGTTTCTCTACCATTTGAATGAACTTGGGGGAGGAGGCATGGGAGGTGAGGAAAGCAGCCAGCTAGCTGCAGAACTAGAATGAGGAGGAGAGGGACACGGGGAAGGAAGGAGGGTGGGGGCTGAGTCCCAGGCTGGTTGTGGAAGTGCATGCTTCCTGACAAGTGAGGGTAGAAAAACTTAATTGGCTTTGTTTAAAATCAACCCTCGCAGGGCAGCTCTTCACCCGATCCAGCTCCTAGATCAGGGCGGCCCAATCATGATCTGTAAACCGTCCTCTGGGAAACACTGCCCTAGCACCTGCTGCCCCAGCGGCCAGGCTTCCCGTGGCCGTGGCCGTCACTTCTGTCTGTGTGTTGGGCAGAGATGTTTATTTTCCAGGCAGACTGTGAGCTGCAGCTGTGGCAGGACCAAGCTCCTCACTTGTTTTCTGTGATTTAAATTTTAACAAATACATCCTTTGAAACAGCAGCCATAGTGAGAACTACATCCTTTGGGCTGGATTTGCCATAGGAGATGGACCAGGTCTGAAGATAGAGGCAAGTGATCCAGCCGGGAAATCACCTGTGGGTGGGTCTGAGGCCCAGGGTGACTCCACACTGAAGGCCTGACATTCTGATAGACATCAGGCACAAAAGAAGACAAGGAAGAGCTCTATTTTTTTCCAATATGGGCAGCTTGAAGGCCAGAACTCACACAAACAGGCATGTCTGCTCCAAACTACATCCACTTTGTCATCTCAGCCCACTCTGGATTCTGGTAGTGGTTGCTCAGTTCTCCCCAGCCCCACCCATCGCTACGCACATCCCTGGAGAAGGAGACTGGACCTCCCCCAGCACTGGGCAGGTTCTGGGAAGGGACTCACCTTGCCAGTGGTGTTTGTAGTCACACATGCGGGACAGAGCGATCATCATGGCACAGTACAAGGGCAAGATGGCGGCACAGAGCCTCCAACTCTTCCCCCGTCCACTCTCAGTGAAGCAGTGGAGCTTGCCCGCCAAGTAGAACGTCGTGAAACCAAGGCCTGAAAAGGCAACTGCCAAAGAGAAACAGCAGGTGTTAGTCTAGCAGGTGCTGAGTGGAAGGGCCTCAAGGTGTCCTGAACATCTTGTCTGCCATCTTTATTTGCCAAAGCCATGATGGTACCAGGAACTATTGAGATAGTCTACGCTCCTTTTAGAACCACACTGGAGTATCTTTCATCTGTGGGAATAACATTTCAGGCTTGCACACGATCAAAGCCTATTCTAGTTCATTCATTCATTCACTCAACAAGTTTGATGGGTATCCATTAAGTAGACAGGAAGGCACGATGCCAAGTGCGTCAGACCTGTCTCTTTTCTCAAAGGACTCCAGGTCTGAAGGGCATGGCCATGCCAGTAGAGAATTCTAAACTAAAGTACTGCATTCTATACTAGCACTAAAGGCGGAGCTACTTAGATCTCAAGGGAAAGAATAAGGCAGGGGTCTGGAACACACCCCAGATTTTTGGTACATAGTGGTGGCCTTCGTCAACCATGATTGTATTGGCAAATGCCTTGGAGGATTTGGCTTGATGGAAAAGCCGATCATGACAAACATATGTTCTCTTCTAGGAGAGATTCTTTTTTAGAATCACAACAACCCATAGTGGTGCCAAATCCATAGCTAAAAGTGTAGCAGAGGTAATCCCTGAGCTTCTCAGTCACATCAACATGGATGGGATGGAAGGACACCTGTTCAGTGAAATAAGCCAGGCCCAGAAAGGCAAATATGACACGTTCTCACTTGTGCGTGTATGGGTAAGCTCACAATCTGATCTCATAGAAGAGAGATGAGTAGTGATCACCAGAGGCTAGGAAGAGCAGCATGGAGGAGGAAAGACATAGAACTTGGTTAACATATACCAAAATACAGTGATATAGAAGGAATTTGTTCTAATGTTCTATGGCACAGTAGGATAATTGGAGTCGAAACCAAGTCATTATATATTTCAAAACAACCAGAAGACTCCATGAGATTCTTATCTCCAGTTAACCATCTAAAAACCAGATGTGGAGCTGTGGACAGCAGAAGTAGCCAAAGGATCCCCACACAGAGATGATATGTGAGAAAATGGAAAGACTAATTATCCCCACTTGATTCTAATGCTATATGCAAGTGTCAATGATCATACTACCCTATAAATAGGTGCAAATATTGTGTCCATTAAAGAAAAGGAACCAATTCTGATAAAAGGATAAGTTGGGAGTTGAGTGAGGGTTAAGATCGGTCTCTGAAGGCAATGAACAATGGCACTCGGTCCTGGCTACACATGAAGTTATTGTTAATACCTGGAAAACTTAAAAAAAAAACTACTGGCAGCTAGCTTCCATTGCCAGACATCTGTCTATCATGTTCTGGAGTGGTCCCTGGATTAGTGTGGCTCCCACATGGTATGTCTGCACATGTGCATGAATTTGTGGGCGTGTCCATACACGCGTGAGGATCTGAGCTGGCCAGGGGGTTATAATGGCAGCCTTGACTGGTCTTGGAGGCCTTGTGTGGAAGCAGGTGCCACAGCTCCTCATCTTCTCTGGATGCCAGCGACACCAACAACTTTAAGAGACAGCCTGGAGCTGGAGCGTCAGCTTGAGTACCATGCAGGATGTTGTCCTTAATGGAGGCTGTCAGTCCTACCCCCGATCTAGCTACTGAGTCAGAATCTCCATGTCACAGTGGAGTGAAGCCCTGCGCTGAAGCACATTCATCCTCTCTATAAGCAATCACCCAGGTTCTAGCTCAAGGAAATAGCATCGACTATCAGGGAGGGGGAGTTTGGTGATAGTCCACTCAAAGTATTTATAATCATAAAAACGATTGATCCAGGACATAGATAAGCTGACTATAACATTTCTATTAGACAGTAAAACATCACAAAAACCAAGATTATACAGCCATATAGACAATACTTAAAAAACAAATAAAAAGAGCAAAATTTGATTCTAGGTTAAGACAATCATGGTTAAACTAACTAAAAGTAAGTAAATGGTGGCTTTGTAAATTATATCTGGAAACAGTATATCTCCTTAAAAGGGATCTTGGTTTTAAGCATAAGCTTATACCAAAGAACTTTGGTAACCAAATGTGGGGTATTACCTCCCCCGCAACCTTTTAAAAAAGAGAATATTAATCAGATTTGTCCCAGGTATAAAAATGAAGCCTAATCAGGCACTGGTGGCTCATGCCTGTAATCCTAGCTACTCAGGAAGGCTGAGATCTGAGGCTCGCAGTTCAAAGCCAGCCTGGGCAAGAAAGCCTGTGAGACTCTTACCTCCAATTAATCACCTAAAAACCAGAAATGACTCAAAGTGGTAGAGTGCTAGCCTTGAGCACAAAAGCTCAGAGACAGCGTCCAGGCCCTGGGTTTAAGAACCATGACCAGCAAAAAGACAGACAGAAAGAAAAAAAGAAAGAAAGAAAGAAAGGAAGGAAAGAAAGAAAGAGAGAGAGAGAAAGAGAGAGAGAGGGAGGGAGGGAGGGAGGGAGGAAGGGAGAGAGAAGAAGGAAGGAAGGAAGGAAGGAAGGAAGGAAGGAAGGAAGGAAGGAAGGAAGGAAGGAAGGAGCCTAAGGAAACACACAGGCATAGGAACAATGGATACACTGAAACTTTTCTGAACACTGATCAGCACTCAAACAGCAAAGCAATGCCAGCATCCATTAGACATGGTGCTAAGACTATGTTACACACTGCACTGCCCAGGCCCGTTCTGGATGGTTTGCCAGAATGGATGGGGATTAAGTGTTCTGAAGGAGCTCCATTTGGCCACCATCCTAGGAAGTGCAAGCGCTTCTTCATTCCCATCCAAACGCACTGTGCTCTGTGCTGTCTCTTCATTTACATTCCCCCATGGGGTACCTCCCACGGGGAGGAAGGGTGTGTGGCTGGCACCCATGGCTCCTGGCCCCATTCTGAGCTCCTCCAGGAGGAATAATGGACTTTATTCAAAGCAAACGGCTTCGCAAGTCTATCCACCTAATTATCCGGAGTATGGCTTTTTTGGGTTATGGAGAAAAGTCTTCACGACTGGACTCCGAGGAGAGGCCAAATTGGCACCTCAGGAAAACAAACAAGAGTTTTAAAAAGTCAACCAAGTCCAAAGTGCTGGCGGTTCGTACCTGTGCCTGTAATCCTAGCTACTCAAGAGGCTGGGATCTGAGAATCCTGGCAGGAAGCCAGGGCAGGCAGACAAACCAGAGACTCTTATCTCCAGTTAAGCCCCAGAGAACAGGCCAAAATGGAGGCGCGGCTCAAGTGGTAGAGTGCCAACCTTACACACACCCCTCAAATGAAAACTCAGTGAACACAGAATGGATGGTGAGCAGAAATCTGTATGCAATCCCCATTAAAATGACTTGGAGACTTTAAGACAGTTGAGTCATCTACTGGAGAAAGTAGTTACACCTGTACCCTGGGCACCATCAGAAGATGAAGGAGCCAAGGGGCTGACAGCCTCCACCTGACCCCACCTGACCCCAGTTACCCTAGGAGCTCTCATGTGACTCCCTCTGACATCATGCTTCCCCCTTGGAAGTGCGGGTTATCTTCTCCTCTCACGACAGAAGGCAGTGCCCACCATAGTCTCTCCATGCTATGCAGACTCTGCTCTCTGCAAACTGGAGGGAAAGGGGAGTCATAGGCTCTTGTTGTTGCTGTTTAAGTGCTGGTACTGGGGTTTGTATTCACAGCTCTTCATTTTTGCTTGGCTTTTTTTGTTATTGTTGTTCAAGGCTGGCACTCTACTATTTAAGCCACACCTCCACTTCTAGCTTTTTGCTGGTTAACTAGAGCCTCACAGCCCTTTTGCTTTTCCCCCAGGCTGGCTTTCGACCACAATCCTCACATTGCAACTTCCTGAGTAGCTAGGATTACAGTCATGTGCCACCAGGGCCTGGCTTTTCACAGCAGGGCCTGGCAGCCTACAGCTTGCGGGCATCCAGCAGCCCCAGCCTTCTTCAACATGTGCCAGCAGACCACTGCACAGTTAACTCCTGCTGTGCACCTGACTTCCCTCGGTGACAGGATGAAGCTCCAATTTCATGCTAAACCTTACGCTTGCCACTTTCTCCCCAATACTTATACAGTTGTTGAACTGACATAATGTTCTTTGACAAAGGGTATCTGAAGCAATTCCTTTTGGCCTGAGAGGCATGTTTGAGCAATGGGGAGTTCTGGTCCTTTGCGCTTCTGCTTTTGCAATGACCACTCTACCGAGCCATACTGACTGAACAGGATTCCTTCTGTGAGGCAGCAGGACACCCTTGCCCATGAACCACCCTGCCTCGAGATTCTGGAACCCCAGACACCAAGACTCAGCTCCAAATTCATCTGAGAGCACAAGACAGGAAGGTCAAGGATGTTTTCAACTCACCATAGCACTGTATTCTCTTCTTGAAGAACACACACAGTTGAGTTCTGTGGTGATTGTGAAGCCTTTTATTCTAGCCTGGATCAAGTTAGATGGTGTTTATTTCAAGTGAGAATCCATCTTCCCTTTTTTTAGTATATTAAAAAAATCTGGCTGGGAATGTGGCTTAGTGGTAGAGCGCTTGCCTAGCATGTATGAAGTCTAGCATGTATGAAGTCCTGGGTTCGATTCCTCAGTACCACATAAACAGAAAAAGATGGAAGTGGCGCAGTGGCTCAAGTGGTAGAGTGCTAGTTTTGAAGCTCAGGGACAGTGCCCAGGCCCTGAGTTCAAGCCCAAGGACTGGCAAACAAAAAATAAATCTTTATTAAACAGAAGGGCTATAGTTACATAAATCAGGCTAAAGAATTTTCAATAATGTTACCACTTCCCTGATTCTCTCCCAGTTTTCCCCTCGCATACCACCCGCAAGTTGCACAGTTCATGTTCTTCCCTTTAAATGCAGGCTTAACTTCTAGCTCAATTAAGAGCCACCCATGTCTGGCTCAAGCCTGCAATCCTAGCTACTCAGGAGGCCGAGAGATGAGGATCATGGCTCAAAGTCAGCCCAGATAAAGAAGTTCATGAGGCTCTTATCCCCATATTATCA